TTTGTCCAATCGGGTGATCTCTAGAATGAGCATACTGGCTAATGGCCGTTTTCTTTAACACTGAAGGAATATTTATGTATTTATTTTCTCATAAATGCTGGTTTAACATTTCTACATGATATTGATGGTTCATTATATCACACAGAGTATTTACAGAGATTATATTTTAGATCAATATTAACCAGTCAGTGAACCTCAACTGTTTTTCACCTCAATCTTTGTGTGGATTATAAAATCAAAAATAAAACGTCTTTAAAAAAATACAGTAACACATACAGAAATATAGCTATATGTATTAATAATTAATAACGTAATATAATTATGCATTCTGAAAACGTAAAGTAATACAACAGTGTAACTGATTACAGAAAAGCCCTAATATATTTACATCTGAGGCATGTATTATTATTTTAAGTCTCATTAATGTATATAAATTGTTCTTGTCGCCCTCATCTTATGTATGTCCATTTTCTCATGTACTGGGCTCGCCCTCACACACGTATAACCCGAAATAAACAGAGTATTTTAGACTTAAGTTGTCATAAAGTCTGATGCTGACACGGTGCAACTCGACGGTCTCTCTGACGGCTGCAGTTCTTCTGTCGGTCGCTAGAGACACACTGGCGCTGCGGCGCACAACAGGTGAGATCAATGCTGCGGCACGAGACCAGCAGAACATTTAGGATGTATCTTTTATCAGTTATATATGCAAAGAGATAGACATTTCCCAATAGTCATGGGTTCATTGTGTTTTAGATAAATGAAAACCTCTTCCTCTGCTCATCTCAGTAAAGTGAGTATCTTTGGTTTCTTTCCCATCGTGTGTTCTCATCTTCTATGATCTCTTAATCCTCCTGTTGTCCTCCACTTCCATTTTAAAGGAGTTTTACAGGATTGCAGCACATGTGAGTTCAGCTCCCTCTCATTAAAGACGGATCGAGTCCGAGCGGATCCCAGTTTTATCCATATTTAGGGAGAGAGGAAAAAAAAAAAACCTTGGTAAAATATGACAAAAATTTCAGGCACTTTCAGAGGAATGTCTTCGGGAATGTTCATGGTCAACTCAGCTAATTAATTACATTAAATATAAGGTAAATTAGGTGAACATTGGGTAGGTGAACTATTTCTTTCAAAAAGTTTAACCAAGTGTTTTGTGTATGATAGTACACACTCACACACACCACTGTTCCTAATGGCTCTGATGTTTCTCTTGCATGTGAGTTTCTTCCTCTTTTTCGTTTGGTTTAGTTCCAGTCCTCATGTGATTCACTTTAATAACGCCTACAGTCACACCACACACACTTTAACATCCCACCTTCTCTCACTGCACACACACTTGATTTCAGCTCTCATAGCAAGCCACACTCTCCAGCAAAACAAACTCTGGGTTAAAGTTCAAACTCACTGAAAAGGCCACCAGGAGTCTGTGACATGTTGTGCTTGAGTTTGTTTTTAACCTCAACTTGCAATGCAAATTCACATGTAAACATGATTTCAGTGTGAAAACGACTAAACAGGTTTTACACACAAATAAGTGTACTGAGAGTTCAGTAGTTCCTGATACTGTTTGAATATCTTGTTAGTCTTGCGTGATTGCACAGTAAATATAATAGATGTGTTGAACCAAACTTCCTGTCGTTGCTTGTGTGTTTCCTGTATGTGGGTTTGTAGCATCTGAGGTTATGCAGTGAGACAGTTGCAGCTGTTACACACACACACATAAAGCTGGGTCATCATCTCAGAGACTATTAAAACACAGTCTGTGATCAGTATGTCTGATGACAAGTGAACAGCACCGTTACAGACTTAAGATGCACAAATCGGTCCAATTCTGGATTATGTTTTGAAAGGTGAGTCTCTGCTGTAAATTATCGCCATTATTACAGCTTGCTTGTATAAGTGAGGGACTGATGTCCTGTCAAGATCATGTCATATTTCTTACAGGAAGACAAGAGATCTGGACAGAGACATTGAAGTACAGGAACTTAATGCTGTAATCTGCATTTTATATGTGAAACTGCTGATATAAACAATATTCATCAGGACAACAAATGACAAGAGAAGCATTTGATTCTGAGTAGCACAGACAACCTGGACCTATTTAGATGCTTCAAGGCAGATGCATGTCTTCTGAATCACTAGTTTGCTGGAAATCATTATGGCGTGGGGATTTTTTTAAATCCTGAACTCTAATCCAAAATTTCTTGGCACAGACCAGTGTTGCCAAGTCCGCGGTTTTCCCTACTTTATCACTGTTGCTGCGGGTTGTTTTTCATGTCCGCAGATTAAAGCGACCAGATAAAGTCATATTTAGCCCCTGGAGTGCGAATTTTACCAGGGGAACCCTTCCAAAAACGTGTATTTTACCCCCTGGAACGTGATTTTTAACGGGGAGCCCCCTTCAAAATGCAATTGGGCTAGTTGATATTTAGCCCCTGGAGTGCGAATTTTACCAGGGGAACCCTTCCAAAAACGTGTATTTTACCCCCTGGAACATGATTTTTAACGGGGAGCCCCCTTCAAAATGCAATTGGGCTAGTTTTGAGTAGCAATTGGCTGGTTGTGTTGTGAAAACCTGGCAACCCTGTGCTGGCACAGACCTTCAGCCTGTTCTGATGGGTGTTGCTTATAGTTTTCCCGTAACTGATGATCAATATCCCAAAAATGTCCATTAAAAAAAATGTCTAGCCGTTGTGTCCTTGACTATTCAAGCCACCATCTATCCAACTAAATCCTTAACACGGACACCAGACAGGTCTGATTAACCATCAAAAAGCAATTTATTCAAGGAGTGGGACATTCTCGTTTATAGAGTACATTTGACAGAAACTGATGATTTAATTGTGTTCTTTAGAAAGAGAAGTGCTAAAGATGCTTAGATGTACACTAGCATACCGATGAGCTCGAAACTATCATTTAAAGGCACAACACTCCAATTTTGGTTGTAGTTTTTAAGTTTGTCTTAAACTCTTTTATAATAATTTTTTTTTTTTAAATCAAGAAAACACACAAAAAAACTTGTTCAGCTTTGTAAAAAATCGTTTTATTTTTCCTGGCATGGTAAAGAGAGAAAGGTGTGATTGTTTTTCTTTCAGTCTCAGTGCAGATTTCCAAACGCAGCAATCGTCCTCGCCTTGCCATCCTTCCAACCGTCACTTCCTGTCTTTGCTTTCAGCTCGCTATTATTTCAAATCGTCCAACCAACAAATAGTCACAAGAAAAAACAAGACGCATGATGAATCCAACAGTTTTATCAGTAAATTTACAAGCAACGTCCTTACAAAAAAAACAAAAATTAAAGTAGCAAAACAAAAAAAGTGCATGACTAGCGAAAATCCAAATTTAAATTACGCATTTTACTCCAATAGAATGTAAATGTTGTGAATTCGGTTCTATTTAAGTAACCAAAATTAGCAATAGCAGCAAAACTTTAAAAAAAACTAACTCAAAAATAAACCTTGTTGTAAAACAAGAAAAAGAGAGAGACAAATAAGAGCAATTTTTTTTTACCAATTATTGGTTTGACCGATAATTTTTTTTAAGGACTTATATACCTAATCTTTAATAAATTCTTCATTATAAAACGGAGAGTTCCGGTCCTTGATTCTGATTGGTTGAGCTTACTTATGTACCTAATCTTTTATACATTCTTCAATACCCCCTAAGTGACTGGGAAAATAAAGGCCACATAAGCAGCACCGAACAATGAGGCGACAGACAGTTAGATGCAAAAAATAAAACCACATGCATAGTGTAATTATTTTTTTAAATATTTATAGTAAATATTAATTTTACATTAATGAATATTATATAAATTATTATTGGTTTATGATACTATTTATAATACCTTTTTATTTTTGTAGGCAGAAAATAATTGTCAAAAAGCAGAAGTAAAACATTAAAAAAAAAATTTTAAGTCAATCTCTATGGCAGACTTGATCAGAGTTCAATTTAAAGGGGTCATATGGTGTGATTTCAATTTTTCCTTTCTCTTTGGCACTTCAGTGACTGTGGGGAAACATAAGCAGACCAGTAATCTGTCTGATCAATAATATAATTTTACCGATGTTTACATTTATTTAATGTGTTATCAATTTGACAATATTTTTTAACACAAATACTTTCATACCTAATCGTTTATAAGTTCTTTAATATTCAATAATTGACTGTGAGCAAATAAAGGCAACATAAGCAGCAACTGTCAATGATGCGACAGACCAGTAATCTGCTGGACCAATTATTTATAATTTTTTTTACAATTGTTTAATCTGTTATCAATTTGACAGAATTTACTTTTAACACAAATACTTTTATGCTTAAGTTCTTTGATATCGCTCAAGTGGTGTGGGCAAATAACGCAACAATGGTCAATTATGCGACAGAACAGTAATCTGTTCGACCGATAATTAATTTTTGTTTACACCGATATTAAAACTTTAATATTGAATCTTTTAGCATTTTTATATTTCTATTTTAGATGCAATATTAGGTGATATATCAGTGTCTGATAGTGATGTGACAGACTGATAACTGAAAATGTTATGGTTCTTTAACTGCACATCTAATAAATAACCATTTGGTTCTTAAAAAAAAAGGATGTATTGTATGCTGAAATTACTTAACTAAATGTAAACACTGTTAATAAAAAAAAAAACACAGCATTAAGCATAACAGACTAAGCTCAAAACAAATATGAAACTTAAATATGAATATTTGGGACAATTTAGATGTGTAAATATAATGGCATGCATATTGTCATTTATAAAATAATATATATTAATGATTTTTTACTTTAATTAATATTGATTTATGTTAATATTATTTTTGCAGCCAGAAATAATTGTCAAAAAGCCAAAATAAAGCATTAAAAATGTCTAACAGGCATTTAGTAAGTAAATCTCAGGCATATTGATCAGTGTTAAACATTATGCAAATGAATAGTGGTGGGATGTACGACTGTCAAGAGAAGTGCAGGCAGCTGAGCTCAAATTATCTGGCATATACTACAGTTGAGTAGAAACACCTAGCAGCAACAAAAACACCTAGGACAGTTATTCTCTGTCCCAGCACATTATAACATCACAAGACATCAGCAGTCATCACTAACCTGACAGCATGTGCTGTGTGTGAAGCAGAGGGGCGGGGCTACACGCCATAGCATGCAGAGAGGCGTTCCTTTAGGATGGGCGGGAACTGCTCTGAGAACTGCTGCCAGTTCTCCTCACCGACCTGGTCCTTAAAACCATGTAGGATCTACACAGAGACACACGATCTCATTCATCAACATGAATCTTCAAAATTTCACCACTATACAGGCATAATGTGATGTAACACAACTCCATGCTCATCTAACCTTGTAGAACATGTCCCTCAGGTCATCTTTAGGGTTGACCCAGGAGGCCACCGCATCACAGAAGAAGATGAAGTCCTGAGGGAGAGACGGGTGAAAGGAAATGAGTGATGGATGAGAGAGTAACATCATGGTCAATCACAACGGAGTCAGAATATCAGAACTGACCTGGACCACACCGCCAGGATTCACACCAATCATCACACAGATGCCTCTGAAGGCAGAGTCCTTTTCCTCATTATCTCTAATGTTTCGTAACGATGTGCACCTGC